TTTTCTCATGAAAACTTGGAAATGGCTGAGCTTAGAAAAATCATGCTAAGTAAAATAAGTCAGGCTGAAAAAGGAAAATACTGCATGATCTCACACTGAAGGAAAAACAAAATAAAACAAAACAGAAACAAAAACCCCAAAGATGTAATAATAGAGAATAAAATAGACAGGGTGAGGTTGGGAGTTAGAAAAACCGTGGTTATAGGACTAAAAATAGAAATAACTGATACACATCATGAATAAATGTAGGTAGCTAATGTCCAACAGGAAGACTGTAGTTAGTAGTACTATGTTAATAGTCTATTAAAAATTATTTGGACCGGGCGGTGGTGTCGCACGCCTTTAATCCCAGCACTCAGGAGGCAGAGGCAGGCTGATCTCTGTGAGTTCGAGGCCAGCCTGGGCTACAGAGGGAGTTCCAGGAAAGGCAAAGCTACACAGAGAAACCCTGTCTCGAAAAACCAAATTAAAAAAAATTATTTGGGATTCCTGTTGAATGAATATGCTTCAGCTGCTTCTGCCCCATCCATGTGAGATCATGGATGGGTTAATTTGCCATAGAACCACTTTATTATCTATGAATCCCATAATATGCTAGAAGAAGAAGGGAGGGTTGTAGATGGAAGTTTCTCCGGTCCTGCCTGGCCCCAAGGTCCCATAGCCACTTATAAAATAATTACTCAAAGTCTTATATTAATTATAAACTGTATAGACTATGGCTTCAGATTCTTGCTAGCTAGCTCTTTCATCTTAAATTAACCCATTCTTATTCATCTATATGTTGCCACATGGCTGTAGCATTACCGGTCTGCTGGCATATTATTGCTCCTTCAGCAGCGGCTGGTGTCTCCCCCAACTTTGCTCTTCTCTTTGTATCTCTGATTGGATTTCCCACCTGGCTGTAAGCTTTCTTGCCATAGGCCAAAACAGCTTTATTTATTATCCGATGGGAGCCTCACATATTCACAGCATACAGAAAGACATCCCACAACACTTCCCCTTTTCTGTCTAATCAAAAATGAAGGTTTTAACTTTAACACAGTAAAATTATATATAACAAAAACAGTTATCAAGCAAGAATTACAGTTACAATATCTAGTCTATTTGTATTTGGCAAAATTAAAGAAATATCATCTATCCTATTTTTGTGAGTCTAAAGTTTATATCTAATGTATTTTTATCATGACTAAGGAAGATTAATATTATAACTATCTAGTCTGGGGGCCAGATAATCGATAAATCCACAGAAGTCTGGTTAAGGAGTATTAGGGAAATTTATTAGGGTAAATTGTGGAAATACACTCATGAATACAGAATGCAGGAGACAGCTGAAATCATCCTCTGATCTGACTGGAGTGAATCCACCTGGCAGTCCGACCACACCAAGCAGAAGGGAGAAGGGACTCCCTTACGTTTTAAGAGGTCAGAACTGCAAGAAGCACTGCCTCCTTGAGGGCCTATAGCCCAAGGTCGTGGGCAGAGCAAATACCACTACAGGGGTGAAGCTGGAGTTTTCCTGGTCCTGCCTGGCCCACGGTCAGGACAAATCTCTGTCACCCGACAGTCCCGCATCTGCTCAGACCCAACCAAGTAAACACAGAGACTTATATTGCTTACAAACTGTATGGCCACAGCAGGCTTCTTGTTATCTAGTTCTTCTATCTTAAATTAACCCGTTTCTATTAGTCTATAAGTTGCCACATGGCTTGTGGCTTACCGGTATCTTTACATGTTGCTTGTCATGGTGGCGGCTGGCAGTGTCTCTCTGCCTCAGCCTTCCACTTCCCAGAATTCTCCTCTCTTCTTGTCCTGCCTATGTAGCTGGAGAATTTCTCTCCAGCTCCCTCCAAGTCCGGCCAGTCCTGGAGCCCACTTATAAAATAAACACACAGACTCTTACATTATTTAAACTACTTGGCCATTAGCTCAGGCCTATCATTGTCTAGCTCTTACTCTTATATTTAGCCCATTTCTATTAATCTATACTTTGCCACATGGCTCATGGCTTATTGGTACCTTACATCTTCCTTGTCCTGGCACCGGCTCCAGGCAGTCTCTTTCTTCCCTTCCTGTTTCCTCAGTTCTCCTCTCTGTTAGTCCCGCCTATACTTCCTGCTTGGCCACTGGCCAATCAGTGTTTTATTTATTGACCAATCAGAGCAATTTAACATACAGACCATCCCACAGCATGCCTATACTTCCTGCCTGGCTACTGGCCAATCAGTGTTTTATTTATTAACCAATCAGAGCAATACATTTCACATACAGAACATCCCACAGCACAGGGGTGTCTTCCTGGATGCTAATATTACAGGACTATGCCACCATAGCTGGGCAGTGCTATGTTTTGAAAAGCATAAAAAAGAAACCTTGAGCCAGTCAGTGGTGGTGTATGCCTTTAATCCCAACACTCAGAGGCAGAGTTAGGTGCATCTCTGTGAGTTCGAGGTCAGCCTGGTCTACAGAGTTCCAGGACAGCCAAGGCCACACAGAGAAACTCTGTCTTGAAAAATCAAAAAAGAAAGAGATAGAGAGAAAAAGAAAAGAAACTTTGTATTGAATAGTCCAGAAAGAACCATTTTGCTCTTTTACCAGTCTAGATCTTAGAAAGAAGTAGATAGAACACCAAAATCAGAATATGAGAAGTTACTTTTGCAAAGGTGGACTTTAGGAAAACCTGAGGTCTGGAAGGAGCAGCAGCTGATGTGGAGAAAGACACATTCATCAGACCTGAGACCCCTAAACAGAGAAGGAGAAATGAATTCCCACTTCACTCCTCCATGCCATTCAGTGAAGGACAACTGGCTGGATCCAACAGGAGCGAGGGAGCAAGGGAATTCACTGATACAGTATGTAAGGGTCAGTCTCCAGAGAACGGAGCAGGCTGGCATAGAATTGTTCAGGAGGAGGAAACGTATTATGGTAATAAATAACCTCTTTCCTCTTTAGATCTTCTCAGTTTCTACAATCAGTTGACATTAAACACAGTATTATAGATACCACTAGACTATACACCGCAGTATTGGGTCTAATACTTTTTTCTTTGGAGTGCTTATAATTCTGATATAAATTATGGCTCAATCTTTTTTTTTTTTTTTTTTTTTTTTGGCTTTTTGAGACAGGGTTTCTCTGTGTAGCTTTGCGCCTTTCCTGGAACTCACAGAGATCCACCTGCCTCTGCCTCCCGAGTGATGGGATTAAAGGCGTGCGCCACCACCGCCTGGCAGCTCAATCTATTTTTAAAGTGGTTTGTGTGGTTTTCTTTTTGTTGCTGCTGCTGCTGTTTTGCGTCTTGAGCAGCCTAGGCTCACCTCAAACTCACCCAGTTGAATATTACCTGGAAGTCCTGATTCTTGTGCCGCTACCCGCCAAGTGTGATTATAGGCATGCACCACGATGCCTGAGTAATTTATGTTTTCAGTGGTGAGGAACACATTTTAGACTAATTATAATGAGTGTTTTAGACACTTAAGAGCTCTAACACTGTGAATTATTGGGAGTTTGGGGAAAACAGTGAGAAGGTTGGTGTGGCTGTTAAATACTGCCCTCGTTTGGCCTACATAGGAACTGCAAGCCTGCGATCCACATGTATACCTGCAGGAAAACGGACCTGTAAAATAAATACATCTTAATATAGTGCCCTCTCTTCATTGCTCCTCCAGATGGTAAACACTTAGAAGCTGCTGAGTTTTAGAGACTCCAAAACTGCCCAATGAAGAGGCAAAGGGAAAGGTGTGATCATTCAATGGAAATGCAACGCAGAATGTGGGGAGGAATTGGTTATTTGGGAGCAGAGGCGCAGTCAAGGTAATTTATAGCTAACAGAGTAATAGCCATCTTTTTTTTTTTTAAGATTTATTTATTTATTATGTATACAGCGTGTACCCCTGCCCTCCAGAAGAGGGCATCAGATCTCATTACAGATGGTTGTGAGCCACCATGTGGTTGCTGGGAATTGAACTCAGGACCTTTGGAAGAGCAGTCAGTGCTCTTAACCTCTGAGCCATCTCTCCAGTCCCCGTGAGTAATAGCCATTTAAAAAAAAAAAAAAATTCTGGCCAGGCGGTGATGGCGCACGCCTTTAATCCCTTTAATCCCAGCACTCGGGAGGCAGAGGCAGGCAGATCTCTGTGAGTTTGAGGCCAGCGTGGTCTACAGACCGAGATCCAGGAAAGGAGCAAAGCTACTAGAAAAAAAAACCTAAAAAAATTTTTTTTTCCTGGAGTCTGATTCTAGAGAGAAGGACTTAAATCCAGTTGTGACTTTATTGAACCCCAGTCAGGAGACTGCTGAGTGGTAAGTAAACGTGTGCTAGCTCAGTTGTTAGTCTTCTTCTTTTCCTCCTCCCCCCCCTCCTCCTCCTCTTCTTCTTTGGTTTTTCGAGACAGGGTTTCTCTGTGTAGCTTTGCGCCTTTCCTGGGACTCACTTGGTAGCCCAGGCTGGCCTGGAACTCACAGAGATCCACCTGGCTCTGCCTCCTGAGTGCTGGGATTAAAGGCGTGCGCCACCACCGCCTGGCAGTTGTTACAGTCTTACCCGGAGAAGCCAGGACTTTAAAAAGATACTTAAAGGTGAGGACTAGAGTACATACAACCGAAGAGGGCTGCTAAGGTCGTCAACACAGAGCCGCCTCTCTCTGCCCAGAGGAGAGCGAGCCTCAAACTCCCAAGCCCATGAGGTTTCTACGCAGATTCAGAATACTTGAGTCAATGACCATAGTGTCTTGACGTTCGGAGGTTTTAGGCTGAATTTCTGGCCGTTTCCTGATAAATTTTTAAGGGTAAAGGTGGAGCAGTTAGGAAAAGAATGACGACGGTATGTCAGGGGTTTCCTGGGAGGCTGAACTTGCGCAGCGCACTCTGGAGGTCTTTGGAAACGCAGACCGCAGGGAGAGCCATCCCCGGCCGGAGACCACGGAGGGCGGGGCCTAGGCGGCGAGCACCACGTGACCGCTGCGCCTCCCGAGTCGCCGGCGCATGCGCCGTGTGTCCCCCGACGAGGCGGCGGCGGCGGCGCTGGTGGCGGCGGTGGCTGAGGGAGCTGCGCGGAGCGAGGCGTTGGGCGTCCCATCTTCGGCGAGGTTGGCCCGGGCTTCGGCTCATGGCAGCGAGCGGCGTCCATCGTTGAGGTAGCTGTGGAGGACGGGCGGCCGGGCGGGCGGGCGCCCCATGGAGCGGGCGGCGGGGG